TGCGCCGGGAGTGTCGGATGAACGGATGATCCGACACTCTCGGCGCAGAGATGGGGGGCCCGCTGGCCGCTGGGTACCGATCCGGCGCTGGGACTGTGCTGGGCCCCCTAGAGGCCGGAGGCCCTGGTGCGTCCGCACCGCCTGCACCGGCGGTAGTTCCGCCACTGACTGGGGGCAAGAGCCTTCTCAGCAGAAGAATCCTAAGGAACAGACCACAAATTCAGTTGCATATGCTCACAACAAGATACTGTTGCTATGAACTTATCTGTGTGTGCTATTTATAGAATAGTTTATCTGCACTTGATACAAATCAAATAATCAATGCAGTTACAAAAGAATCTGCATAGAGTCGGGCATTATATGAGCATATGTGACTAAGTAGACAAAACTGACCAAGGGAAAATGGAAACGGAAAGAACGTCGCCTGCATTCCAACACTGGTGTGCATTTCATAATTCGCACCTCCGGCTCCATTCCTAGTGTGAGACTCCCCTATGACCAGGTCAGCAGTTTCCACTCTAGAACTTTTCCTCTAGCTTTTTGCTACCGTACAAGATACACATTTGTGAGTGCATCTGATTTTATTAAATAAAGTAGAATTGCTACACTATGTCCGGGTGCTTTTCTGTATTTTAGTTCCTGAGAGCGCCCCTCTCCGTGCTTCTTAAGATCTGCAAGGCTGGACAGTTTAGAAATATTTGTTAATTGTGGCTATCTTATTTATAAATTGATATATTATTTATAACATAGAGCAGGCTATTTCAAGATTTATGTAACTACTTTATCCTGTGTATAAACAGAGTATCAGTACCATTGTTCTTGGTTGTGGTACACCAGCCTGGTAAGACCCCTGATAAATGCTTTGTGGGCTCTGCCAGACTGCCAGGATCTTTTATCCCAAGGACTGATTTGCCATTCTGCTTCATGGTCACTGGCTTTAATGGAACAGCTGTTGAAGCCTAGGTTCTGAGGAATAGGGGCATCTCAGAGATTCCTACGATGCTAAAAACTAGAAAGTCTATTTCTTGCAAGGTCTATCATTGGACATGAAAGGCATTCTTCATTTGGTGTGAGTCTCAAGGGCTTCCACCACAGGAGTTTGACAAGACCATTGTTTGGCTCTCAGCACTATTAAGGGTCAAGTTTCTGCCCTTAGAAACAGTTGGCCTCCACTCTTTGATTAGGCTTTTGTACAGGGGTCTGCAATGTTGCTCCCCCCACCTGTTCCCCTGTGACTCAGTGGAATCTGAATCTTGTTCTATCTGTGCTTCAGAAACTGCCATTTAAACCCATTAAAGATACAATATGTTTAGCTCTACTCTCACCTACAAGGTGGTGCTCCTTTAGTCATCACCTCTCTAAGGCAAATGTGTAACCTGGTGATCTAATCCTACAAGGAACCCTTTCCGGCCTTGTAGGATTAGACCACCATTGTCTATTGTCTGCATGAGGTTTGGGCTCTAGGACTCTCTCAGCCACTGCTTCTTTCAGGAACACTGATTTCCTTTTTGTCATCCTGGAAGGTTCTTCATATACAGTGCGTGTGTGTGTGTGTGTATACATACATATATATAGAATCAGGGGTGAACAAGCTGCCAGCTCTATTGACGACTAGAGAAAACCTCAAAAGTTAGGCGCCAGCTGAAATCTTTTAAGAAGCATTGGTTACCTAATTTTTAGACTTTGTCCAGCCCTGATAAGTAAATATATATAAAAAATAAAAAAAATGAGTAGTAATTTGTATCTAATCTATCAATTAAACTACAAAGTGCTTAAATGAAAACAAACCTAATCAATATTTTGTGTGTCCAATCTTTGCCTCTGTGACAGCATTAATCCTTCCAGGTACACTTGCATACAGTTTAGGATTTTGCAGACATATGGCTGACAAAGTTGAGGCACAGATCACAGATCTTGCATCAGGAAAATTAAAGGCAATCAGCAAACATTTATTGTGTCTGACATTTTGATGGGGCTGCATCTGCTGACAGCCAACTGTGGTTTGACCTGGGCATGTTATTGCCCAGCAACATTCTCTCTATGGCACATGTGCCAGTTACATGCTATTCCCAGGAGGTGGATATCCATGGCAGCCATGATGCCTGCAACACCAAGTGGCTTAGCCATCTATACAAGGCTACGTTTTCTATTTGGCATGGCTTTTGTACACAGTTTTTTTCATCATATCGTGTTATTGCTACATCAGTTAATATTCTACATATTGCTTATTGCTTTTTATGCTCTGTGGTTTGGTACTTTGCCCTTGGTGCCATTGGTTTCCCCTGGTGCCCACCTTTTTTATTTTTGAGGGGGTTGCTATAACATTGTGGGTGGATGGGAGGGTGGTTTGTGGGTATTTAGTCTCAATCTGTTTGTTTGTGTCCTTTAAAAAAATAGACTAAGCCCCATTGAATGTCGGACACAATAAATGGTTGCTGATTGCCCTAAATTCTTCTGTTGCAAGACCTGCGAGTGCCTCAACCTTTACCTGTTGTCTACTCATTCTTTGACTGGTGCACCAGGATGGATTTCATTGATGTGTGCAGTGACTAAATTTGGTGTGTGTGTGTATATTATTAGGCCATAAAACATCAAAACTCACGGCACTGATCCCCACACACAGCAACACCAAGTAGTCTAACTCCTGCTTTTTTGGTTGCAATGTAAAATAGATTTAAAACCCAACAGTTGCATGCATGGGAACTTGGCGCACCGATTTTACCATTGGTTCCCCTAACAGATTTAATGCACGATGTGATATAACTTTTAAAGCAATCTTTCAATGAAATTATCCTTTAAAGGTAGTTTTTTTCAGTCTTAAATGACAGATCCACTTCTTTGTTTCCTTGTTTCTGTTTTCTCAAGTTTGTCACAATACAGTGATGAGAACATGATGGACCCCTATAACCTGGCTGTGTGTTTTGGCCCTACGCTGGTTTCTATCCCAGAGGGGCAGGACCCAGTATCTGTTCAGGCTCACGTCAATGAGGTTGTAAAGACTATTATCATTTATCAAGAGCGGATATTTCCAGGACAAGCAGAACTTGAGGGCCCTGTTTATGAGAAATGCATGACGGTGGAGGAGGATGAAGAATACTGGTGAGTAGAATGAGTGACCATGACCAGTCACTATCTCTATATTATAATACACATACTGCTGCTTGCTTTAAAGACTAAATTCAGCATTGTATCAATTTCTACTGCTCTTAGAATACGTTTTGCCATTCTTTGCAGTGACACATTAGCCCTGGAAGCCACCATTGAAGAAAGTGACCAGGAGATGCACCAAGAAATGGGTGTCAGCGAGGACGGTCAGAACCTAATGATTATCTATCTATCTGTCTGTCGGTCTGTCTGTCTCTCTGCCTTGGCTATTTTTTTCTTAGGATATTCTTTTTTAAAGAATATGTTAACTCAATCACTACAATCTCATATACGCTTTAACATTTGATTGTAATTTTTAAGTTATTTTAAATTATTTTAAATCTGCGGCTTTCATTAAAATAATAACTATTGATCTGATGGAGACTGCAATTTCAGTACACAGTACACTGTTGTCACCATCAGAATCTCACCCTGAAAAATGCCATACAGCCATTACTGGAGTGCAGGTGCATAGAAAGGAAGTGGCTGCAAAAGAGGCTGCAGGAGATCAGCAGCACTGAGATGCAGAAACCAGGTGTAAAATTTTAAGCACATTTTCCTATTAGGTTAACCTGTTAGCTGTATCTGCTAACAGTTGCACAACAGTGACACCAACCGGAGATCTTTTGAGAGGTTTGGAAACATTTCTCCCAATTATACTTGAAATCAAGCTTAGTATGAGCATTAGACAATGTGCTCCATTGGTAAAAATTAGCAAGTAGACTTGACAGTGGTGTCAAAAAAATAATTTTCAAGCTCTTGTTCACACGGACGGCAGTTTTTACAAGAGTAGTGTGTACAGCAAGCATTTGCAGAACATGTGACTAGCTTTGTTGAAACCTGAAAGCATCATTGGGCTCTAGTTTGGATACAAATCTTTATAGAAGTGCTGATTGGCATTTCAAACAAGCTGCTAGCAGGCTTTAGCAAGACCTTTCATATGGTTAGCAAAAAAGAACGGGGAAGGGAAGGTATATGCACAATATCTCTAATATAAATTAGATATAAATGGGGGTCCCCTAACTATTCAAAGTTATTTAGAAAAAGAAGTTTTCCCCAGGGAGAGGGGATCCCACCATTCTTTACAAAATCTACGTACCAATTAAATGGTGAAAAAGGTATAAATATATTTATTCATTAAAAATCCATATTTCTAAGACTCTACGTACACAAAAAATCAGAAAAATACATTAATCAGACAAATAGATAAATATATACACACAACAAACAGATAAATATATATACACGAAAATTAATGACTGCATGCCGCCTATAAACTAATGAGTAGATGAGTGGGTTAATGAAAAAAAAATTTTTCTTGACAATTAATAGACATGCCGCTTAGAAAGCCAGATGTATTCATATATTTTTTTTGGTATAAAGAAAAAACAAGACGCTGTCCATGAAGTGAATTCCGATATATGCTGGGTTTCACGATAGTTGCCTTAGTTTGAACTAAAGGACACAAAAAGTATCGGAGTTGTAGCTACGGAGGAAGCGTACCATGTGGACATGTGGACACAGCACCCCTGAGAATCAAGGGAGTGGGATGACACAGTTAATATGAGAAAATATATTTTTATGTATATATATATAAAACTCACAGACCCGGGATATCCTTGTTTCGATGTTTCCACAATGGATTTCAAAGGAAAGTAGGTAAGTTGAAGCTGGAGTTCTGATGACTGGGTTGGAGAAGAACACGGATATCAGGAGGTGTAAATATTACCTCAGCTGGATACGATAGATGTTACAAATCGTTGCCTTAACTCGATAGCTGTGTTCAATTAACCGGATAGGTTTCTCTTTGATTTTGATCCACACTTGATTTTAATCCACACCTCGCTTGAGCCAGTCGCCATCCGCGTATGAATATATCGGATGGTCTGGTTGGTGAAATTTGGCTGTTATTTCTTATTTGTTAACCATGAATTCCACATGGAAGAGTTTTGACAAACTCTAAGCCAGTTCCAAAAGGCCTTATTGTGAAACAATCCAAGGCTTAAAAAGTATAGACATGTCTCGGGCGGAGCAGTCACAAAAGGAAGAAAGAGCCTGAACTGAACACCCGTGACGCGTTTCACCCCTCCCACAAACGGGGCTTCCTCAGACAGGTGTGTCTGATTTTTTGTGTACGTAGAGTCTTAGAAATATGGATTTTTAATGAATAAATATATTTATACCTTTTTCACCATTTAATTGGTACGTAGATTTTGTAAAGAATGGTGGGATCCCCTCTCCCTGGGGAAAACACCTTTCATATGGTATCTGTGCCAAAGAAGAGTTTTTAATACAAGCTGAACTGGAATAATTTAGGAGTTAGGGCTGGTGCACACCTATGCGATACACAACCTACCTTCTTTCTGCGATACACGACGCGATCGTGTTCAGAAGCACAGGCAGAATCGCAGTTGGAAACTGCGCAATCCAACCGGCGCGACTGGGGTGCAATTGGAAATAATTTCCACCCTGCAACCACCCTATAGAGTGCTGCTCAACTTACAAATAGACCTACACAGTAGGTCTGATCACGCTGATCCCCTTAGTGGACAGACGGGTTAAGCCCACAATTGGATCCACTTGTTGTAAATCTCTACCTGGTCCTTTTTGGTACTCAGCAATACAAAGGTTGTATCAGCCTAGAATGAGAGAAAACATACCATAGTGCACACTGCTTCATCGGCATCACCAAGGCGGGTGTCATCCAGTGCATACGTCAGTACATATACACATCACGTCATTATGCACGAGCGTAATGACATCATTTGCACTTCACTTCTTGGTGATGGACGCCACCAAAAAGAGGGAACTTTCTTTCGGCGGAATAAGGCATGCTGGGTCCCCTCCTCTCCCGTGCAGCTGTCGAGCATGACCAAGTGCCAAACCTCTCAGAGGGGGTGACACCAAAATACCTGTCGGTGCAGGCCTCACCTCTCACACCCCCCTTGTGACGCCTCTGCACTGCTTCACTGTAAAAAACAATTTTTTTAAAACGTACTTGCATAAAATGTCGGCATATTGTGCAGGTCTGTTTGAAAGGTGAGCAGCACTCTATAGGGTGGTTGCACGGTGGAAATTTTGTGGGGAAAAGGAATATCTACACTTATATCAGTGGTTTTGATTTTTCTTCACATATATGAATTGTATGGACACTGATGCCCAAAATGCTTCATAGTGCTTACAGCTGATAGGGGTATTGGCGTAGAGGTTTTTTGGTTTGTGTATTGTGAATGCACCAAGAAAAACTTCTATAGTATAAGTGGGCCTGACTGGAGGTTAGCTAAAAAATGGAATCTTAGATAAAGTATATAGAAGTCTTAAGAGACTTTTTAACTTTTATATTGTTATAAACTTCATTGTTTTAGAATATTTGTGTTTATAGATCATTGTCCTGTACCGTACACACCTGTGTTGTTGGCAAAATGTATCTGTATCTAAGTGTTGGGGGTAAATTCAATGTTACCTTTAAAGGGTAGTTAAACATTAGCCTTTAGTTTAGGGTCAGGGTTGAAATGACTTTTAGCATTTATTGTTGAAGCTAGGTTAAGGTTTGGGGATAATATTAGGGTAAGTGTTAAAATGTAAGTGTTACAATTTAAGGGCTTGTTTTAGAGTTAGGGTTATGTTTAGGGTTAAAGTTAAGTGTTACAATTGAGGTATGGTTTAGAAATAGGTTAGGGTTCAGAGTCATTCTTTAATTTTGACTTATTTTTGAGGCCAAAAGCCCCAAAGCCAAGACTAGCAGCTGCTAATGGGAAAACAAAAATATTCTACCAACTCTGCAGAGTTGCAGTCAAAGCAGTTCCACCACTGACATTTGTTCCATACTAAAACACATACTATTTCCTTTCATAGTAAGGTGACTGAGGTGTCTATACCTACATTCACAATATTTTTGATTATTGCCACAAACCAAGCCAACAACTTTCTGGTACTATAACGGTACATTTCAGAATTGGACACGGTGGAGGCCACAGCCAAGTTTGAATATTCAGCCCGGACACCGCAGGAGCTGTCTTTCAAGAAGGGGGACATACTGCTACTTCACAGCAAAGCATCCGGGGACTGGTGGAGAGGGGAATTATCAGGAATGCGTGGATTGGTCCCTCACAAATACATCAGTATTCCTGAAGGGTGAGTGGCGACAAGAATCGGCCTAGTAAGCCTGTTACTTAGAGACATTGGAGCTAATATAGCAGAATATTAGTAGCAGTGACGATTTTCCAATATTTTTTATTTTTATTTTAGAGCACAGAAAAAACTTGAGCAGCGTGCACTGAGGAAGGACGGGGACACAGGAACAGCTCTTACCCCTGATGATATTTTAGTTGAGCCGAGCAGGTAAGCAGTCAAAAATGAGTGAAGAGTCAGGTGCACAAAACAGAGAAAATTAAACTGACTTTTAGAAAAGTGTGAGGAAAAAAAAGACTCATGCACGTGGCACGCGGGGCTGAGTGCAGGTGTATGGTTTTCTATTAGCCCATGTACACAGTGCATAATTCTGTGTCTGAGGTCCTGTGTATGGACTGTATTTTCCACTGTACGCATGTGCTAACATTGCATGCGTACAGTGCAAATGCACTCTGTTGGAGCCACTTGTGTCCTCCTTGTGCTGCCTAAAGTTGTTTGTTGCTAGGACACAGGCATTGTTAGAATGCAGGTGGCTCCAACCATCTAGTGTCCCTTGTTGCTTGGGTGGATCGAGCTGCCTACTTTTCTAGCAACAATAGGGCGCCTTTACTCTATATGCTGTACGCATGTAAATGTTTCACAAATGTTATATACGTACAGAGCAGATCAGAATCTTGCTGCCAGCTTCAGTAACGTTCCCGCATACTAGTCCTAAAGTGTATCTTGGATTTTACACCTTCCAGGAGCTCCGTTGGTGAGTCAACTGTTTCACTAGACGGTAATGGGAGTAAATCTCTTAACAGCAACACTGGTAGAAATGAAAACTATGAAAAGACTAGAACCCCTGCCAGTTTTTTATTGTTCTCTGTGTCCCTGGTACAAATGTTACCTTACTTTGTGCTTGGTGAAATCATTGTCACCTGGACAGGGCAGGACACTTTGTCCTGCCCCTTAAGTCCTACACTAACCTTTTCACGAAGCATAAAAATGTTGCAAAGAGGCTTATTCCTACATCCAGGTAATCATTTTCTTGCTACACTGAACATACTGAAAACAAAAATGAGATTTTGATTATATTAATGCTGAAACCCCTTCCTCTGAAGGTGGCCACATATGCTTTAATCTAATTGTACAGTTCCTGTACAATCTCAGTTCAATTGACCAACTACCATGTATTGCAAACGCCTGTGTAAACTGTCCATTTATTTTTTACTACCTGTTCAAAAGAAGATTCTACAACCAGAATGTAATTCGTGTGGCAAGCTTTCGTTGACTGATGATTTTTTTACTTCCAGAATTGTTGGAAGATATGGTGATTATGTTATGCTGTACTTCCCCAAATTGTATTACTCCTAATGCTGTATTACTACTGTAAAAATGAATGAAAAGTCCAACAACTACCATTGCATTAGCCATAGGGGCTGCTAGGAATTCCACCTATGCCACCAGACTTCCAGAAGAGATTTTAGAGGCCACTGGGTGATTGACCCTAGTAACTGGCTGACTGTATGGCTGTAATAATGAGATATTGAACTATTATTTATTTTCAACTCTACAGGATACGTGTGAACTCTGACAGTGCATGCTCCCCTAGAAAACGCAGTGAGGGGAGTCCCATCAGAAAACTGAACTCTCCGTTCATGGAGGCCCCCCGACTTCCTTTTCCAATCGCCCACTCTGGATCAAGGCTTCTAGGTCATATTGAAAGGTAAATACATGGGCACATAGAAAGGATAGGAGGGCACAGGTGATGTTAGGTAGACAAAAAAATGTGGATTCCTATACAGTACTATTTGGAGTACTTCTTGCAATAACACAGAGAAGTCTCCTCCTTCCACAATTTCCAGCCGGTTTCAGTTTCAAAAGATAGCTGCTCTATAGGTGAATCAGATGCTGAATGTTGGTTTTGGTTGTCGTTTACAACATACCAACTTTTGTAAATGAAGGCAAACGCTAGTTGCCTGGCTGTTGCCCCATTGACTTTAATACTTACCTGAAAGAAGTTTGCAGATCAAGATCAGGTCCTTTTTTTTTTTTGCATGTTTCCGGTCATTGACTCTAATAAGTACTAATAAGGATTACAAGATTTTATTCAGATTCATTTTTTTCAACTTTCAGGTTTTCTGTGTAAAAATAGATCATCTGTACATAGCTGCCTCTGACAAGCGCAGACAACTACAATGTTTCTATTTTGGTTTATATTTTCACAAGCACTGACACTGTAAGGCCCCATTCACACTGAGCGGAAAATCCCGCGATTTCCTCCTCTCCATGTCGCGCCTGCAGGACCCTTTTTCCCGCGATCTCGCGCAAATTTCCTTTTCTAATGCAGCCCGACGTTGAAGGCTGCTAGAACGTCGCCCCGAACCGAGGTGAGTGTCGCTTAGTGTGAATGGGGCCTAATACCTTTTAGAATGATTAGTGCTGAGAGCAGCTCAGCTACACAGATTTGGACCTACCTTGACTGTCACACTGACAGTAGGTCCCAAGCAACTACGCTGGCGGGCAGGAGCCTAGGCGGGGAGGACTCTTTGACATATGAGTCAAGTAAGGCCCCATTCACACTTTAGCTGACTATCTTTGGGTGTTTTTTTAGGGGGGGTTGAACATTTGTACAGGTGCTTTTGCGCGCATTTCAGGCTTGAGCTTTTTTTTTTTAGCAGCCAAGCTTGTTATTAGGCATTTTTGTGCATTTTGCTCACATTTTCCTGGTGCTCCCATTGAAGTCTGTTAGGGTCAAAATACTCCACTCTGCTCCAAAAGAAGCTCATGTATTTTTTTTTTTTAGCTACAGGCATTGGTGTGAATGGGACCTTACATAATTTTATTACCTGTTGACCCTGCCAGTAGAATCCTTATTTTTCCGCTTCCTGTAACTGTTTGTGCTACAATAAAATTATACAGCTGTGTTGTGACCCTGTGGGCAAGTTAGTCTTAGATGAGCATGCAGTTTTAAATGGACTTAAAATGAGTGACAAATTAAAGCCCAACTCCTGCTTTAAGTAGTAACTGACCATTGTAAACACTCCTGGTAGTTTTATATGGTTAGTGTCAACCCTTGCAACTGTCACTTTTCCCAGACAGCTTGGCTGATGAAGCTCTGATGAAGGGACACCCCCCTGGAGCCTCGTGAAACATGTTGGCTTGTTCTTAACACTTTATTGAAAATGGAATACATCACTTGTCTGTGTTTGGTATAGTGCTCCTCACTTTCCAATAATTTTGCATTGTGTCGGAAGCATCTTTGGAGGTTTTATCCTATCCAGAGTTATTGTGCTCTAATAATAGTTTACGTCACAAAGCAAAAGCAAAGTCTGCACTCCAAGGCCCTTTTATTGGACCTGCAGACAGGTAGGTCAGCCATGTGCTTCAGGTTGAAAACTCAGAATCAACATAGCAAAGTAAACGTTATCTCAGATAGTTGATGGATCAGAGAAAGCTGTTGTGGTAAACAAAAAAAGCTGATGTTATTTTACAGAAGGCAGGCCAGTACGAATGGATTCTGATTGGTTGCTGTGCGTTACTATTCTTTACCCTTAGCTCTTCTTTCATTTTTTTTTTTAAAACAAATTTTGATAAATAAGGTTCAGTCTGGCTATGTATGACATACTTATTGTATATGTTATTATGAGAATATAAACTTTTTGCTAAATGGATCAGTATTTAATCTTTAGCGTGTGTTTTGCAGGGTACCTGGGGAGAGGAGGAACCTAATTGACATCACACCAAAGGGGGGATCTGCAATTAAAACGTGGCAAACTGAACGGCAAAGCATAGAAGTAGACAAGGTAAGGTGCATTGCCCACTAGATACCAGTCACTGGGCTTTAATACTAAACATCAATATGTGAAGACTTTGACAAAACACATTTTATATTTTGAATCATTTGTCTTAATTTCCACATGAATTATCAAGCACAGTCCATAGTGCTAATCTGGTGTTTTTACTGGATTGGCACTGTGAGGTTTATATTAAAAATAGAGAAAACATGTTAAAGTGAACCTGTGACAAGGTTATAGATGTTAAAGTATATACATATTGTTTATAAGCAGTAAGCAATAACTATTCATCCTACTTAATGGATATCTGAGAAAATTATAGTCTGAAGAGTTGGCCTCATCCCATATACATTATCTTACTGAGGTCTAAATTAGCCTGATCAGGCTGAATCTGTCAGTTCATATGCTGACACATTTAGGACTGCTGCCCATGTGCTGGTCTCTTACCAGTATCTGACCATGTTTCCCTAAGGCTGGGCACACACCTTACAACCATCGCAAGACTTTTGTCTTGCGATGGTTGTAAGGTACTTAAAAAAACGTATGATCTGCCCATCTTGCATAGGCAGATCGTACTTGCGATGATCGCAAGCCACGCCCCCTGAGGGGCGGGCTTCCGATGACCGCAATGCCGAACGGGCAGTGTGCGCTTGCGCACACCGGCCCGTACGGCTGTTATCGTACGGACATGCCACAAACCCGCCGAACGTCGTACGATGCTCGGAGGGTTTTTGAACATGTCCGTAAGTTCAAAGTCATGCGACCTCACAGTAGTAGAGGTCGCACGGCTTCCACACACCTTACGATAATCGTACGATCGCGGGATTTCCCGCGATTATCGTACGATTATCGCAAGGTGTGTGGGCACCTTCAATGTGTGTGCTGCCAAAACCAGGTGCAGCTTTCTTATCCCTAATTCAAATAGTTTGCTGTTGAAGGCCACATAAAATGAATGATGGTTTCCTTTTCTGTGGAAAATGGGGAATGATTGGTGATTGATTGCAGAGAATCTACAACAGGGGCGCCATCAATTTTTCGTCCGGAGATCTACTTTTCAAATGACGAGCTCAAAGAGATCTACCAACGAAAAAAACCTTCAGTGGCGGGAGGGACCATGGCGGTGCATTGAAGTTAATGGCACTGCAGCCACGCCACTCACCCGCAGTGATATCGACCGCACCCGGAATGCAGGCACATTAGTGCCTGCGTTCCGGTCCAGCGCGATCTGCAAAAATGCTGCAAGCACTATTTTTGCAGATTGCACTGGACCGTAATGCAGGCACTAATGTGCTTGCGTTCTGGTTGCGGGCGATCGCACTGTGGGCGGGGGGCATAGCTGCGGTGCCATTGACTTCAATACAACCCCACTCTCCCGCCCCTGAACGCAGGGAGTCGGCCGGCTTGCATTCTAGTTCGTTCTAGAGGTGCCGGCGTTCTGTCCTCCCGCGGTGCTTATGTGGTCGAGTGTAGGCTCAGAGGAGGAAGCCGCTGACACACCGCTGAGTGCGGTGAGGAGAGAGAGCCGCCGGCTGTCAGATCCACTCCTCTCCTCACCGATCGGCTGCTGCTGTGATAGCGGCTCCCTCCTCCACCCCCCCACCCGCCGGCAACAGCGCTAGTTCACTTCTCCTCGGATCCAGAAGAGAAGCCCCGCGGCGGGAGGACAGGCCATCGCGATCTACCAGAGATCGCGATCGACCTAATGGGCACCCCTGATCTACAACATGTTAGAAAATCTATTTTACCAGTTTAAATGCTTGTTATGGTCATTGCTCATGATAACCCCGTCACAGTACAGCTGTCACAGGTATCGGTTGCATCACTTTTGCCCATGCACATCTGATCTTAAAGCTCCAGTGATTGGATAGAGCGGGGAAAGGTTAGATCCTTTGTCAGATTTGTATTCCTACGTTTTTTAATGAACGTAACCATATTATTTGTGTGTTTACTATCTACCTACATTTATTTTTACCTTACCTCTGAACTTAGGCAAACGCTTCTAAAAATTCTCACTAGTTTAGGATCCAGTTTTGACTTTCTGCTATTATATTTCTTTTGTCTATTGGTGAGCTCAGAACAACATAGATAATGGCCTATCTTCTAACGGCTCAGCTTTTTGTATTTTTTTCTAGGATGTGACAAAGAACATGAACAATGTTTTCAAAGAACTGCTGGGCAAGGCAGTTTTGAGGCAAGGCGTACTGGATGAAGCAGGGGATGCTGCCAAAGTAGCAAAGTCACGTGAAAATAAACCCACTGCGCCAAGCAGTTGTGATGCAGCTCGGGGGAGCCCAGCAGGAAAAAAGGGCCATCAGGGTAGAGCTGTTTTTGGGACCAGAAGATGAATCAATGACCTCGAGGAAAAAATAAGTACAAAACTGGGTCATATCTGGTACCTTCTTTCAGTTCATCTCATCGACAAGACCACAGGGCTTGTATGCCGACAGTGTGCTAACAATTAAAGAATGAAGGGTGTTTGTGTAACCGTTCCCGTAAAGACTCTCCTGCACAGCATTTGTTACTTTGTATCCGTGTTTGTTACCGTCATAAACAAAAGCACAGACATATGAAGCCATGTGGAGCTCCCCCCCACCCCCTCTCCTCAAGAGAACCAGCACAGGCCTCTGCCCAGCCAATGGAGGAGCAAGGGGAATAAAAGCTCTGACATATATAGACATTGTTGGTTGCTAAAAGCAGCAGTGGCACCTACCCAAGTCCACAGAATTCATTTTTATCCCACTGGTATTTAGGTCTACAGACAACTGGGCCAGATCCTCTTCAGCTACATTTTCAATGCAGAATGAAAAACCAGCATGGTGCCCATCTGCAGAAGCACAACCAATATCACCACTGAAGATCCCTGTTCTGTTATACAGATCATCCTGTTAGCCAGCATCGCAGCCCATATCTGACATATGGGAAGAAAACTAGACATTAATCCCTAACTGTATTTGTGGCACAAGCAAAATATGTTTATGAGGAAGAAATAATTTTGTGAAACAGCCTTTTTTTCTGAAAACAGCAGATGGTCAATTCTACAATCACTGGGATTTTTTTTTTGCATTTAATAAGATTTTTGCTTGAATAATATGACGGCACTGTGTAAAGGAATGAAGCCAGAGGACAGGATGCAGCTTGTCAGAGATCATGGGCCACTAGGTGGCACTAAAAACACGTAAATCTCTTTAACCCTTTTTAAGTTGTGTTTGCTGAATTTTCCATACTGCTTTAACAGATGCTTTTTGAAAAAGGTCATTGGTTGTAAATCTTCAACCACACCAACTTTACTGACTGGAATAATACATGACATGGCCCCCTTTGTTTTAGATGCAAATGTCACAATGTTGTTGCAAGAATTGTGTATAGTTCCAATATGGTCTCACAAAATGAAGTAAGTGTGTCATTGCCCATCACCTTATTGTTGACAAAATATTTTCTATGGATAACGGAAGCCATATTGATGTGTTGTTTCTTTTGTAGCCTGCACACGTGGAGCATGGGTAATTCAAAGGAGACTATGTACCAAATAAACAGTGTCCAGACAAATCCTTATATACAGCTACAATGTTAAAGGGTTATTAAACCCTCCAGTTTTTTTGCAGTTTTTTGCTGCCTGAGGGTTGGGATTACAAACAGAGTTCTGGCATAAACTCCATACCGATAAATCAATTCTTTGTGGCTGATTTCACACAAAGAGTTTACTACTGTCTGTGACTTCAGTGGGAGATGTCCACCCCATATCATTACTGTGCTAGGACAGACTGGCCTTTTCAGTTAAAGCCCAACTCTGCGCTTGCCAAAAAAGTGAAATCTGCCCTCCCTTCCCCAGCATATGCTTGTCTAGGGGGATTCTAAAGCTGCCCATACGGACGATTTTCGTATGCAATCGTGTTTTGGTCCGTTATTGGTAAGGTTGATGGGCAGTGTACAACCGCAAATACTGTACAGTTGAAAGACTTTTGACTAACCAGCAGGTTAGAAAACTTCGGTGGATCGTACGATTTTCGCAAGGTTGGTGGCGTTTCCGTACGTCAAAATTCGTACGATTTACACTGCCCATGCTCAGACGAAAATACGTGCAGCTGATTACTGCAATTCGTCCAGGTGCTTTCTTTTAATTACTGCTGATTCAACCTTGCGATAATCGGGGAGGATGGGGCCGCCATATGGAAATCGTACGACTGTTCGATCATTGGACGAAAAGTTTTGTCCGATGATCGCAAGGTGTATGGGCAGCTTTATACAGAGAAATACTTCCCTTAATCTATAGTGCCACAAGCTTTATCCCTGCTAGTTGTGCTTGTACTGACAGGTCCCGTGCAGTCGCTTTTGTTCTTGGTCCTCAGCTGGTCATGTTGCCAACCCTCCATCACATACAACGTTGGACCAACAACCATGCTAGACCTGCATTGTACTTGGTCATGTCAAGGGCTTGGCCATATTTCAGTGTTGGTGACGATCAGAGTGCTGTCTGCAGCAGGACCATAAAGATAGACAGTAAAAGAGTAAGGTGGGCATTTCTCTCTATTAGATCCCCCCTAGACAAAACAAACAATATATCCTTTCTATGACAGGGACATTGGCGTCACAAGGGGGGTGCGGCCCACACCCGGGTGACACCATTGGAGTGGTGACACCAAAATGACTGACAGTCATTTTGGTGTCACCCCCCTCTGAAAAGTCGGGCGCTCGGTCATGGACCTAACGCCCGACAGTATCGGAGGGGACCCGGCGGCAAACCTTATCCCGCCGGGTGACTGTCCCCTCCTCTCTCTGCCCGCGTCCATCACTAAGATGGCCGCCGGCAGGTATTAGAAGATTGCTGCGCATGCGCGATGATGTCGCGGGCATGCGCGGTGATGTCTCGGCGGGGTGACACCCAGCCTCGGGACGCCCCTGGACAGGGACACACCTACTAAATACTAATAAGAGTTTCAAACAGACGATTTCAGACATAACGGCTGTTGACACCAACCTAGTTTAGTATTTCTGAGGTACAAGTATTTTATCACCTGCTTTCTAGTGTGTAAGCAGCTGAGGTGCCAAAGACAGGTCAGAAATAATAGAAATTGTATTAGTTTGATGCTGTTTTGTTGTGAAATTCAATTACTTAAACACTTGAGGTCAGAATACAAAAAAAGGTGACCCCTTCTGTTTCCCTCAATTCTTCCATGGAATATTTAGAGCATTCACTTAGTGGCCATGAAAGCCCAGCATTTCTTCTCATAGGTATTTGGGAAGATGTCCCTTCTGTTCAGGAGGATCTGACTGTGCTTCACTCCACCATGAGAAGTCCATTTTAGATTAGTTGCTGTTTAATTTTTTTAGGTTCCTACATTGTGAAAAACTCTCATAATTCTGCTGGGTCTAGTGGGACTGCATCGTTTTGAGGTCCCAAAACACGACCACCCGGCACCCTAGAAAATTGTTCAATTAACGCCATTGCTTTGAGGTTCTGTGTTCTGCAGTGTGCAGACCTACACCAACACGTTCTTGCTTTATTTGGTACTGTCAACTAAGGAAAAGATAAGACAACATTCGATCGGTTTCTATGGGTTACTGCACGCTGACAGGTCACAGATTAAGAGGAAGCAAGGGACAGAGCTGTATGAGTGCCCTAGATTTACAGATTGAGAGCCAGCAGTTCTTGATGAACCGGACGAAATTCGCACAGTGGGTGGTGCTGTCAGCATCCCTACAGCCGGCATTCCCTTGATCAGCTGATCAAAGGAGCCAGTCAGAAGATCTTTGAACGAACAGGGCCGGCAGCCAGTCAGCTGTAGGTTTTACTGGTTACAGCTTGAGAGCCATCAGAGGGAAAGAGCTGTGTGAGTATCATGGATTTATACACTTACTGGTCACAGATTGAGAGCCACCAGAGGGAGAGAGCAGTGTGAGTATCATAGATTTTTACACTTACTGGTCACAGATTGAGAGCCACCAGAGGGAGAGAGCTGTGTGAGTATCATAGATTTTTACACTTACTGGTCACAGATTGAGAGCCAGCAAAGGGAGAGAGCTGTATGAGTTTAATAGATTTTTTACACTTACTAGTTACAGATTGAGAGCCTGCAGAGGGAGAGAGCTGTGTGAGTATCATGCATTTATACACTTACTGGTCACAGATTGAGAGCCAGCAGTGGACAGAGCTGTGTGAGTGTCATATATTTTTACACTGGCTGGTCACGGATTGAGAGCCAGCATAAGGACAGAGTTGGGTGAGTGTCATAGATTTTTACGCTGACTGGTCACCGATTTAGAGCCAGCAGAGGGACTGAGCTGGGTTAATGTCATACATTTTTACACTGGCTGGTCACAGATTGAGAGACCACAGTAAATACTGTATGTTAGTTTGGTTAGGTTTCCATTAACTTCATGTAGGAACCAAGGGAACACAAACAGCCCAAAAAAAAACTGACAGGAGCTAAAACTATTACTTGCGCTATTGAAAACCTTAAAAAAAATATTATATAATGGATACACTTTGACAGGAATAGTAATCTGCTTTAACCAGATGGAAATTAAAATCTTATTGCTTCCTAAGAGTTATTACACTTCCTTTGAGCATTCCCTGCTGATATTCATATACACATAACAAAATTCAACTAGGATCATTGCTATTTTTCCAATAAAATAGCACACATAAATGCCACAGCTCTCTTTTATTTTAACCCTTTGCCACATGAATGAAATATTCAGGACTATAGTTTGGACTTCAAAACTTGAATTAGTCTCTGACTTTGCCTGGATCCCTGCTTGTAAAAAGTCTCTTTGCTGTATGATTGGTATCTTGCACCCGCTTCCCACAGCATTATTACCATCGAGCTTGCTGGCATTAGCTGTGTAACAAAAAGCAAGCTTGCAGTTGGGCTACCTACTCTCCTGATTACCCATGATCCCCTGGTGTGGTTTGCCATACAGCAACCCTGTTTGTGTAACCCTGTCTGTATGTAACAAAGATCTATTCATCATCTGTTATTCCTTCCAAGGATTTGGTTACTGTGATATTGTCAATGGGGAGAAAATGTTGAGTCTAATACAATGTACATATTTAAAAATCTGTATCGCTCAGACCTCAGTGGCCATCCATACACAATATCATGTGACATAGATCTTGTATCCTATACTCTACTCCAGTTCTCACCAAAACACAGCCTTTTGTGCATACAGAGAAATACAAATTAAATGCGGTATTTATACCTTCTCTTGTTTTTCATTGTTCATTTGTTAAGTATAAAGAAAAAAAATGACCAAGCCTCCTCCCTAAATGTTCAGAAGTTCGTTTTCCAGAATTCTGCTTCCAGAGGGACCCACAATGCATTGCAGTACAATGGTTTGCAGATCCATCTGGCGCATTTGAATTTATATCCATTTTGCTCTGTTAGTAAAAATATAGTTTTATTCAACTTGTACGTTTTCAAACTTCTTTTCTGAGTGCCACGCGTATTCCACTTAGTGCCTTCCCTACAGCCTCAAAGATTGGATCACAGAAGGTATGGACACACACTGCGTAGAACTGGCCCAGGCACTGGACTTCCATCAGGTAACTTTTGACGCAGGGAACCACGGCCCATATGTGACAGAATGACAGGCAAGCAAAGAGGAATCCCCAGATCAGGGCTAGTGGAAGGCCCAGGATTGCAGAGAGCACTCGGTAACACCAGTATTTGGTGACAGTGAAGGTGGTGTGGCTGGTTTTCCACACTCCATCGAAGCTATGAATGCTGTCCGGCTCAGCAATGACATCTTCAAACTCCACCTGAAAAGGGATAAAGCACTCAGCATCAGATCATAGTGGAATGGGAATACACAAACAGGCAGTTGGAATCCAGTTACCTACTATGGCCAACTGCTTTCCCCGCTTGTTTAAACACATAACACCGTGAAAACACACAAAACTTAGATACAAGTTTAAAGAAAAAGTTCCAGTTAAGTTTTATAGTTATATGTGTCTTAGAGGCTTACAGCTCTGCTATTGAAAATGTACACATGAGAAAAAAGAACACTGGTCAGCCATAACATTATGATAACCCACCAAACATTTGCCACCAAATCAGCCCTGACTCCTCAAGGCATGGACTCCACTAGACTTCTGAAGGTATGCTGTGGTATCTGGCACAGAGCCCTTAGTAGCAGATCCTTTAAGTCCTGTAAGTTGCAAGGTTGGACCTCCATGGATCGGACTTGTTTTTCCAGCACATCCCTCAGATGCTCGATTGGATTGAGATCTGGAGAATTTGGAGACCAAATCAACACCTCAAACTTGTTGTGTTCCACAAACCTTCTTGAAACATTTTTGCAGGGGGGAGGATGGCCACTGCCATCGGTGAATGTACTTGGTGTATAGGAATGTACTTGGTCAGCAACAATGTTTAGGTAGGTGAAAGGTGTCAAAGTAACATCTACATAAATGGCAGGACCCAAGGTTTCCCAGCAGAACATTGCCCACGGCATCACACTGCCTACACCGGCTTGTCTTCCTCCCATAGTGCATCCTGGTGCCTTCTCTTCCCCAGGTAAGCAACGCACATGCACACGGCCACCCACATGATGTAAAAGAAAACGCGATTCATCAGACCAGGCCACCTACTTATATTTTTGGTCTATTTTTGATGCCCACATGCCCATTGTAACCACTTTTGGTGGTGGACGTGGGTCAACATGGGCACCCTGACCTGTCTGCAGCCACTAAGCCCCATATGCAACAAACCACGATGCACTGTGTGTTCAGACATCTTTCTATTGGAACCAGCATTAACGTTTTAAGCAATTTGAGCCACAATAACTATCCTATTGGATTCCGATCCATTATTAGGGCCAGCCAGCATTATTGAGCCTTGGTGACCCATGACCCTGTCACCAGTTCACCGGTTTCCTTCTTTGGACCACTTTTGGTAGGGCCTGACCACTGCAGTCTGGTAATATCCCACAAGATGTGTTATTTCAAAAACGTACAGCGCTAGCCGTACAGGCCTGTTGATTTGGGTTAGTTTCCTGTGTGAGCTGCCTCTGTGGTCTATGCTGGATTTACACCGTGACTCTTGCCTGATTCCTGACCATTCTTCTGCCTGCCGATTTGGTACCTTGCTGCCCGATCGTGTCAAGACCTCAGCCTGCCTGCTGACTACTCTCCTGGATCCCGACTATGTACCTCGCTGCAGACTGTTGCCGACCCTTCCTGCCTGACCACGCCTTCGCCTTATCTTAGTCTAAGCTCCACTACGGACTCAGCCTACTACAGCCTGATCGAGCATGGAAATTAAAGACGGAGCTGCAGACTTACCTTGATGAAACAAACGTGTTTAACATCTTCGGATCTGGTGAGTGCATTCCCTTGAGGGGATTTTCGCTGCATTTTTTCTACATTTTTTTCTACATTTTGTTTTTTATTTTTGTCTTCATTTTTTCTCCATTATTTTTTTCCTCGTTTTTTGGATTTTCGTTGGACACATTATTGCACTGAATTTTCACTGTCGAAGTGTCTTACATTTATGGATTTCTAAAGACTATATATAAAAAAACTACAAAAGATTTGGACTATTCACAAATACATCGAAAAAAGTTTAATTTTGTTTCATTTTATTTTATTTAAGTGGTACACATTGTTTGTCCATTCACTATGTATTAACAAGAATCACTTACACATGATACATATATTCACAGCCTATCACATTTTATTATAGAAATATATACATTGTCTGTTTTGATATTTTATGAACTTATTTGTTCACACAACTGATTCACATTGAATATTTTGAGATACACCCCTTCACTGAATGTTTTATCAATCATTAATTATTATTTTTTAATAGCACTTGTTAAATCCTGATCTCAACGTCTGAGTTCTTATATTCACATCTGAAGGACGGCTAGCGCTGTACGTTTTTGAAATAACACATCCTAATAGGGGCTGAGTGCCTTTTGTTCAGCAGCTTCCCTTACCCTTCCAGAACAATTTAATATAATTTTTAATTTTTAGCCATTTTATCCACTTTTATACATAATTGATTATTTTTATTCCATTAGCGCAAGTTCTTTGCAATTACAATATCCCACAAGAGCTGCAGCTTTGGAGTTGCTCTGACCCAGTTGTTTATCCATCACAATTTGGCCCTTGTCAAAGTCGCTCAAATCTTCATGCTTGCTCATTTTTTTCTGCTTCCAACATATCAAGAGACAAATTCACAATAATAACTTGCTAATATCTTGTCTAATATATCATTCCCAGTTCCAGGTGCCATTGTGTCAGATGTACAAGCTCCTCTCCTATACTGAAACTGCTTACTCTGATTTCATTGCACAATGTGCATTAGAAGCAGCAATAAGTCAGATGAAGTTGGCTGGAGGATATAGTTACATAGTTACATAGTATTTGAGGTTGAATAAAGACATTAGTCCATCAAGTCCAACCTATTAGGATCTCATTCTAGGAGTACCTGTAACCCTGTATATTACGGTCCCTTAAGAAATCGTCCAAAAGTTTCTTGAACAATTCCACATTATTTGCTGAAATCACCGCCTGTGGCAGTGAGTTCCAGACCCTAACTGATCTTACTGTGAAGAACCCCCTTCGCCCCTTGTGCTGGAATTTTTTTTCCACCAATTTTAGGTGGTGGCCTCTAGTTTTTGTAATGGAGTTAATTTTAAACAGTTTATCGCTAATGTTGCTACCACCATTGAACATTTTGTACATGGAGATCATATCCCCCCTTAATCTCCTCACCTCCAATGTGAACATGTTTAAATTTAGTAGCCTTGTCTCGTAGCTCTGGTCCTCCATACCCCTAATTAGTTTGGTTGCCCTCCGCTGGACTTTTTCCAACTCAAGGACATCTTTTCTTAGTACTGGTGACCAGAACTGGACCGCGTACTCCAGATGAGGTCGAACCAATGATCTATAAAGTGGCAAAATTATAGACTTGTCCCTGCAATACATTCCCTTTTTAATACAGGACAAGACCCTGCTAGCTTTGTTTACAGCAGTCTGGCACTGCAAACTACCTTTCAGTTTGTGGTCTACAATGACCCCCAAATCCTTCTCCATTTCTGCCTTCCCCAGCGGCATACCCATAATTGTATAACCCATTTGTTTATTTTTAATTCCAAAGTGCATTACTTTGCATTTATCGACATTAAACCTCATCTGCCACATTAATGCCCACTCCCCTATTTTATCCAGGTCCTCCTGTAATGTTATAATGTCTAAGTCCGTGTCTATTACCCTCCCTATTCTGGTGTCATCCGCAAACATGGAAATATCGCTGTTAACACCCTCCCCAATGTCATTAATAAATAAGTTGAACAATATGGGACCCAGCACAGAACCCTGAGGCACACCGCTCATTATCTAGCTCTTTCCTTATTAGGCTGACTGTTCCTGACCCACCCCTTTTTTATTCATTGGATTGAGGTTCTTTCAATCTTGGAGCCTCAGCATCACATGTGGTATTACCTAGGGCGGTCTGCTGTTTTCAGGAAGCTATGTACAGCACCATGCGAGCCCTCCCATTAGCCATGATTATGGAGAAGCACAGAGACCCAGCGATCACATCACTAAGTCTGAAATAGGATATGTCATGAAAATGGAAACATTTCATTACCCTATTAATGAAGGCTAGAGGAGGAACCAGGGAAGGCAAAATATAGTCAGATTAAACTGTAACTTTAACCACTATGGCATTCTTGTAAGAAGTGAGATAAGATAACCAGGGGCGTTCTGAGGCTGGGTGACACCCGGAGTGGTGTCCGAGTGTCACCCCGCCGAGACGTCACCACGCGCGTGTGCGATGACGTCATCGCGCATGCGCGGCAGTATTCTGATACTTGCCGGCGGCCATCTTGGTGATGGACGCCAGCAGAGAGAGGAGGAGACAGCCACCCGGCGGGATAAGGTATGCCGCCGGGTCCCCTCCTCTCTCCTGATACTGTCGGGCGTTCGGTCCATGACCGAGCGCCCGACCTTTCAGAGGGGGGTGACACCAAAATGACTAAGTAATCTTGGTGTCACCCCTCCAATGGTGTCACACGGGTGCGGGCCGCACCCCCCTCACCGCCCTTGTGACGTCACTGAAGATAACCAGACTAAGTCCCCACTACAGTGTGAAGAACAGCAGAAACTTAATAAAACAGAAGGTATTTCACTTCCATTACTTATCCCAAAGGACAAGGTGCTTATTCCTTATTAAAGGACAGTGTGCAGAACCATGCAGTTCAATCCTTTATACTGTGCATCCAGATCTGCTGCAGCACAGATTCAACCACAAATTTCAAAGCCATTTAATCCACTTGGGCAAAATCCGTTTCAGGCTTGTTGGCACTGTAGTCTGTGACTACACCTGTTCAATACATCAGGATTTCTGGATGCAGAGTTGGCAGATATAAGTACGGAACCTTTGATCCGATCTAAATTTGTGAGCAGGTCCAAAACATGAGCATAAAGGAATTATAGGGTTGGATCTGCATGCTATTCTGAAATCCTCCTTATCCTGAGCTTCCATAGTCATGGAAGTTTCTCTTCCTCTCAGGTGGCCACCATATGTGGCGGTGACTTCACTGACCTATATGAACGTGCAGGAACATAATGAGGTAGACCAGAGTTTAACCATGCCTGCTCTGATCGCTATTTGTATAATAGATTGTACAAGGTTTTGGGGATCCTAAGCTACAATTAACATTTTTGCAGCTTTGTGCTCCAGGATTGCCACTCCCATACTTACTTTAATACTGGTCAGAAACAAGCATGCCGCCAATAAAGTTGGA